AGATTAGGTCATTAAGGACTCATCTGGGTTTAAGAACAGACAAAAATGATCACTCGGACTCAGAGTAAATTTCTTTCTCTTTCTTTTCCTATCAAACCAGCATACAGGCCATGCAAATGATACATAAGTGGAGGAGCAGAGGATGGGGGAGAACAGCAGACTGATGCCTAAATGCTTCAGGGAGGCAGGCAGGAGCCATGAAAGTGTTGGTCCAGCCCAGCCCCAGTACCGTTTGGGTCCATCATGCAGGATTCATGGACTTGGGACTAACTGTCTTTGAGACTCTATGCAGCCCATCCAGTCATCCCTCAAGTCAATCCTTCCTGCTTCTGGCCCCTTGTCTTAGAAGTCGCTGAAAAATTTAACCAATGAAAACCTGCATAGGGGGAGGTGAATGGAGGGGTCAGTGGGAGGTACTTGAGACTGTGCTTTTAAGAAGCTTTGCTGGCTGCCTGCCCTGTAGTTGGCTCTCTATTATTTTCCATGCAATTGTACACTGTCCTGGAGATACAGCCAATACCAAAAAGATAATGTTTGACTTACTAGCAACAGATCTGTGAAAATAAAGGTAAAGAGACCGGTCACTAAAGTGCAGGAAGGAGACATGTAAACACTAGCAGAATCAATGAGACAAATGAGACTTTGGCCAGTTAGCATAGTGATAGGATGAGGAATAAAATACAGGCTTTCTGGAAGCCATAGAAAGCTTTCATATTTCATGCATTGCAACTTGTTAGACTCTTCAGATTCCCTGTAATCCATTATGCCTATATCAGATGATGCTTTACAATCCTACACATTGTTGTGATTGTCAGGATCATGTTAAATGACCACAAAGTACAATAATTAATGTTATTTTTAAATTGGAGAGAAAAATATTAGAGTGATGGGGGAAAAAACCCTCAGGCTCAAATATTTTCTAATCTCATCCCCTTTGAACATTCTGTGTTAGCAGAAATGGAACTCTGTTTAAAAAATCAAGAAATCAGAACAATAAGGGGAGAGTCCAATTATATTTCCTGAGGAAATTGCTTTCCAAAAGCAGCTGAGATGGTTGTTGTTCTAAGTTACAGTAGAGATAAGTTCCCCTCCTGAGATCTTTTGGTGATTGTCCTGTAAATACAAAAGGAGGATGTGTGGACAAGCATCAGATGTGACTTACACGCTTAAGAATTCTCTAATGGTATCCAAAACTAAAAGATAGTAAAACAACAATTCATTTTTAAACATTGTTGCAATAACAATCAGAAATATTTGAAGACGTATAGTAAATCCACTCCATTTTTGCATCAATCTTTTTCAAGAAATTTATCAAAGGCACATTAAAGGAATTGTCATCTGATTGAAGAGTTTGTGAAGGAAATCCCATAATTGAAGGTAGAGTCTTCTGTGCTCTGAGCAGATATTAAATGAGAGCTTTGCATGAGGGTCTGTGAGCTCTGAAGTCTGTAAGGAAGAGATAAGCAAATGTTTTCCTGGAATGTGTGTGTATGTATGATATGTGTGTCTGTACGTGTGTGTCTATGTGTATCTCTGCATTGGTGTATATGTGTGTGTATGTGCATATGTGTGCATGTGTATGGGTGTACATGAATGCATGTGTCTGGTGTGAGTGCATGTGTGCGCTTATGTGTGTATATGTGCATGTATCTCCTTGTATATGTGTGTGCATGTGTATATGTATATATGTGCGCATCTACATGTATATGGGCGTGTGTTTTAAGAGGAGAAATCCACAGACTTCAAGGTAGAACCTGATGAGGTTCTAAAGCATATCTCATCAGGCACACTCACACAGCACAGCATGGCTTCCTGGAACCCATGGCTTAAGGATTTTGTCTGCATTTGAACAGTTATCAGTCCTCCACACCCACAGCCTCTGTGCTGAAACTCAGTGGCGGCAGAGTTGGCCAGGCAGACCACAGCCCCATATTACATTGAGACTGTGAAAGGTGGTTTCATCTGCAAATACTAACACAATCACAGTATCCTATGGCTCTCTGAGGTGCAACATAACTTATCATACACTGAAAACAAAAGTATAGAGGGGAGAACAGCTCTGTTGTCAACAGCTTGGAATCAGAAGCTCTGTCCCTCACACTGCAGTGCTCTTGTCCATCATCAGTCACTTCCATCCTCGCTGATTTCTCAACCATCATTGACTTATTGCCTGGTTGGTTTTGTTCTTGGCAGGTACCCCCTCTGCATTTTGCTTTCTCCATCAGACAAGCTCCTCCCATGACTTTGCCTTTAATTTGACAGGACTGCACTTCTGCCGACCACTTCCTCCCTTCACGGAGACAGGCGAGGTTAGTCCTGTCTTACTGCCCCAGAGATGGCACCTCTTGTCCTGGGATTAGCCTCTCCCATCTTTCCATTCCCCTCTCTTGCTGTGTCCACTCCCATATCCAATTCTTTCATCTCAGCCACAGTCACGCTAGCTTGCTTTTGGTATGCTGAGTGTATTATGTGATTTCAGCTGGTTCTTTGCTCACAGCCAGCTCTCTCCTTGGAATAAACTGCTCCTTCCCCATATGCTCATCCATACCTATATGAGTTTCCCAGGCCTGCCATAATAAATCAATGCCAGTTCAGTGCTTTGGCACAACAGGAGTGTATTCCTCATAACTCTGGAAGCGAGAGCCTGACATCAAGGCATCAGCTGGTCATGGTCCCTAGAAGATTCTAGAGAAGAATCTTTGGCTCTTCCAGTCTGTAGTGCTTGTGGATGGATAGCAGACTAAGTTAGGGCTTTAACAGAATCAGGCAGAGCCTTACTCAGGCTTAGGCAGGGATATAGGTCTGCTTAACAGAGGGCTTTATCCAGACTTAGTTAAGGCTTTACACAGGCATAACTAGGGCACCAGGCAGGTTAATAGAGTATTAGGCGGACTTAATTAGGGCTGAAGGCAAGCAAAGGTAGGGCTTTTGGCTTACTGAGGCAGTGCTTTAAGGCTGGAAAAGGTAAGGCTTTAGTCAGGCTTAGGCAGAGCTTTAGTGAGGCGTAGGAAAGGTTTTAGACCAGTGTGGGGAGCGCTTTAGTCAGGCTAAGGTAAAACTTAGGCAAATCTTTAGTCAGGCTGAGGTAAAGCTTTAGTCAGGCTGAGCTAGGGAATTAGTTAGACTAAAGTAGGGCTTTAAAGTCAGGCTGGGCACTGTTTACAATAGATAAGCTTTGGAAACAACCCAAATGCCCAAAAATAGATGACTGGATCAAGAAGATGTGGTACATATACACCATGGAATATTACTCAGCATTCAAAAGAGATAAACACATGCAATTTGCAGCAACATGGATGGCGCTGGAAGGGATCATGCTCAGTGAAATAAGCCAAAAAGAAAAAGAAAAATACCGGATGGTCTCACTCATAGCAGGAATCTAGAAAACTTAAATAAGGGACCAGGAAAATGAATAACTATAAGAAAGTGAAAATCAGAATCAACAAAAAACTATGAAACAGAGACACTTTTGGGGGGGGTGGGGGGCGGGAGGGGAGGGATTGGGATCAGAATGGGGGGTTTCAATTGTATGGGGAATATAAAAATAAAATTTATTATTTAAAAAAAATAAAATAAAATAAAGTCAGGCTGGGGCCTCCCCGGTGGCGCAGCGGTTGAGCGCTGGGTTTCGAAGCTGCCCGCAGCCTCTACAGCGCCAGTTCAATCCCCGCTGCTCCCCGGCCACTGGAGGAGGGTCCCACATGGCGCGCCGACCTCTCCTGCCGCCCGCTGCTCCCCTCAGCAGTGTACTTCGGTCCTTCTGCCTGCTCTGCTCCCCGCTCTGGCTCTGGTGAATTCTCTCACCCTCCCGCGCTTCTGACTGTACCCAGTGCTTGTATAAATAAATAAAAAATAAATAAAAAAAAATAAAGTCAGGCTAAAATAAGTTAGAAGGAAAAGGAAAACTATGGAATGGTTTCACTAATCGGAGGAATATAGAGAAACCAAACAAGGGGGTGGAAAAAGGAAAGACAAAACTAACAGGCAAACTATAAATCAGAAACATACAGCAGGGGAAGGGGAGAGGGAGAGGGAGGGAAGTGATCAAAAAGGGGGGAGGGGAGGGAAGAGCACTAGAGTCTATGGTGATGGTTCACTGGTGACTTGGTGGTGGGAATTTTATGGGGATTACATCTGAGGGGAGAAATAAAACATCGTACAAAAAATGGAGACCCCCTGATGGCACAAGGCGTTAAGCACCGCACTATGAAGCAATCCACAGCCTCTGCAGCACAAGTTCAATCCCCAGCCCACCAGGGATCAACCCACATGGTGCAGCAGACCTCTCCTGTCTCGCCCGCTGCTCCCCTCAGCAGTGTATTTCAGTCAGTCTGCCTGTTCTGCTTCCCACTCTGTCTCTGGTGAATCCTCTTATCCCCCGCATCTCTGGCCTGTACCCCAGCTCTTGTATGCATAAATAAATAAATCTTTAAAAAATCATACAGAAATGAACAAAATTTTTTTTTAATAATTTAAATATATTAAAAAAAAAGTCAGACAGAGTAACAAGTTTTGTCAGGGTGAGGTAAAGCTTTAGTCAGGCTGATGCATAGCTTTACTAAGGCCATTTTAGACAGGTATAGGCAAAGCTAGGTCAGGTTTAAAAGAGCTTTAGGCTGATAAGGGATGTTCAATAAAGTTTTGCTGAATGAATAAATTAATGAGTGGCAAAATATATAAGAACGAATCAAAAATGTAGGCATACAACATAAAAATTCAATAAATCAATGAGATACACTGCTTTACAACAAGCAACTATAATGCTGGAATCTCTGAATACTATTTGATTGCTTGGGAAAATAATTATGCAAGGGAGGGATAAAGCTTGCAATCTGAAGATTATTCCAATTTTGTAAATAAACACGCATTTGTATAGAAAAATCATGAAGGAAAATACAACAAAACTTGTTTTTTTAACTTAACTAGCTAATTATAAGTTATTTTTATTCTGTATCTTTTTCCTTATAATTTCTGTTATGTTTTATAACATGTATGCCCTATTTTTATAATTAGGAAAAAGAAACATCTTTGTTTTGAAGTCTTTATTATTTCATAATAAGAAAAAACAGAAAAGGCAAACAGCCTGCAAACTACAGACACTGGTTTCAATCACCCCTCCACCACTAACCCCCCTCCCCTTAGAGAAGTCGTCTCCACACCTCTAAAATCAAGAAACTCTGGTAGTACTCGCGATGGACAACTCGTGCTCAGTATTCTTCCAAAAATGGGTAGGAAGGATGATCAATAGCACTGGAAAAGAAAAAAGGACATTAATGCGCTGACTGTCTACATGCTGTCAAAGAGGCAACTACTCTGAAGAGGCAGCCAGGATGGGCTGCTAGAAACTCTAAATTTAAAACAACAGCCCTACTTCTTAATCAACATACCATGTGGGCTCCTGACCATATGCAACTCCCACTCTACATGCTCTCCAATCCCAACTTCCAGGTGACTTAAATGCCAAAGTGATCCACTGTTTGATTTAGATGCCAATTTACAGGAGGGTGTAAGAACCTTGGCTAAAACTATGTGGTCATTTCAGCCTCGGGGGCAGCTTTTGCCCTAGGTAATGAGGATGAGCACAGCAAGGATTTCGCTCCTCTTTTCCATGCATTCACGCAAGGACCATGTACTGAGTGTCCCCCACAACACAGGGTTCCTCTGGAAGGGGCTTGCCCTCCATGGAGGAGATAATCTGTGCACCTGAATGGGCACACCTACAATGTGAGGACAGTTTCCTTAACGTATAATTTATGAGAATCCTTGATAGTTAGAATCATCACTGTTTTCCTTCACAATCCATGCTCTTGTTTTCCTTTCTAGATTGGTCCTTTTAAATCCAAGTTGACTAAAGAGAGTATCTGAGTGATCCCATGTGCCAGGAACTCTGTTATTGACACAGGACCACAGAGGTGAGTAAACCAGGCATGGAAGGGTGGAAGCAGATCAGATGCTTACACTGAGCAGTCACTTCCCACCTAGTTTTCACTTTTGTCTTTTCTCCAGAGTCATGACACAGCATTATTAGAAACAAACAGGAGATTATGAGATTTTTTTGGAACCAGCCTTCATTCGATCTCTAAATGTTTATTCCCCTTATCTCAGGACTCCCTCCCAAACTTCCCTCAGTTGCAATAATTTTCTTTCTGTTCAATCCTAAGCCCTTCCACAGCAGTGGAGACATGGCAGGCTTAGAGATTGGTCAGAGACAGAGGAGGTCATGCTCCCCAGAGGACAGTCTCCAGATGGACAGAGGCAGCACCGGAGTCTTAACTCACAGAAGCAGAGAATCCAGAGGATCTTACCTGGGTATGTGCCCCTGGGGATGCATCACAAACAAGCAAGGAACGAATAACTTCATGATCTAACTATAACCCATTTGGGTGAGGTTACTTGAAGAAATCAATTAGAAGGAATTGATGGTGTCTGGGAAAAAGAGGGTCTGTTCAGGAGAAATGCCACTGCCCCCTGAGGAGGGGCTATGAGAGAAGGGCCACCTATGATGTTCACGGTTCCTGCACACCTGACTTCGGGTGTCCTCATGGCATCTTACAACTATGACATGTAAAATGAATGTAGTCCAGGCCCCCTTCATCATCACATGGTCATTGTTAGTGTAATCATTTCTCCCAAAGGTAAAAGAATTAAAGTAGGACATTTACATAGTCCGTGGAAGTGCAGTGGGCAGGGGACGGACCTCTCTGTGTAATGATCACGTCTGGCCTGAGTGAAGACCCTAAGCACAGGTGTTAGGGCCATAAAAGCAGTGAACTCATGGTGATGTGAACTTCAGCAATTTCATCTACGGTTCTCAATCCAATCTCTGATGGGTCAGTCAGCGCCCCGGAGTAAGCCTCTAGTCTGAGGACCTCAGGGAGCTCTGCTTTATTTTTCTGCTGGAAATCAGCCCTGTCTCTCTGACCTAGGGAAGCAGCTCCTCTGCTCATCTTCAGATTCAGAAACAACATCTGGAAACAGCCTACGAGTCACTTACAAACGAAAATCAATATATCGAAAATTTCTGTTGATGCCATCAATTGCCTTCATGTCTTCTGGAGTCAGTTTAAAGTCAAAAATCTAAAAGGAAAGAAAGAATCTCATTAAGCTCTCCCCCAGGAAATCGTCTTCATTCTGGGTACCTGAGGACTTTGCAGTGGGATGGAAAGCTTTTCTTCTCCCGCCATCCTTAGAATCTGACACCTTGAGCATAAACAAGCATTGGCAGAAAGATCACCCCCCAGTAAAGGCCTCTCCGTGAATGGGTTGATCTCAGGAAGAAGCACCCCCTAAATCGCAGATCAGCCTCAGTGCCTGTCCATACCCCCCAAACACTTGCTCTTCCTGGGTATGTTTACTCCTCCCTCTTCAAGGAAAGTCTTTCTGATGATCTTTAAAGCATTTATACATTGTACATTCACAGAGATATTCTTTTTGAATAATGTCTCTCTCAGGTCAGTCCAGATTTGCTTTTGATGATAAATAGCTCCAATGCAATGTCCATTAACAGGGAAACTGACAGGTCTTTGGTAAGAAATATTATGGAGAGAAACTCATTATTTCATCCAGGGGCCAATTTCAGGGAAAACCCAGCACCTGTATCTGTCTGTCAGGTTTGCTAGACTGATCAAAGGGACCACGAGATACATGAGGGAGGATTTAGGAAAAAAATTTTAAGCATTTGCTAATTTAGAGACTAATATTTTATTGCTAGATTGCAATCTGCAGGAACATGGCTGGGGAAAAGGTGATGCCCTACATAAGGGTCTCAGAGTGTGGAGAGCCCACTGCTATATGCACAAGCAATTTTACTTTAATAGGGAAAAAAGCTCACTAAGATAACCATGTTAAGAAAATTGGTGGACAATAAAGAATCCTGATAGTTCACAAAGCTGCCAATCCGACATGGTTTGATATTGAAGTATATTTAGGAATTCCCCAGGGAGAATAGGTGAAAGACGAAGCAAAGTTTTCTCCTCCTCTGCATGGTAGGACTGCTAAAACTGATGATGGAGGTGAAATATGCTCACCATTACACAACCAGGAACTGGCAAAGCTCAGGACTTTGAGACTCTGAATCTCATTGTCATTCTTATCACAGGGATCAGTCATTTCCACTCTTCAAGCCACACACCCACGGGGTCAGGAGAGGAGAGGAAATGGATAAATGCAGGTTTATGCAGCAATGCAGGATGATTGCCTCCAACACAGCACCCTCATTCTGGGGGACAATGATTGTCCTGTACCTGCGAATTCTCTTTGATTCTCTTCTCATTGAAGCTCTTGGCCAGCACGACCACCCCCCGCTGAAGCTGGTAGCGCAGGGCTACCTGGGCTGTGGTGCGATTATGTTTCTTGGCAATGGCAGTCAGGACAGGATCCTGCAGTGTTTGTGGACTGTTCTGTTGCACCCTGAAAACAAAAACCAAAAAACAAAAATTTGAAAGGTCTCCCCTGAAAATTTAGAGTGTTCTCTCCCTTTTCCCCAAACTTTGGGACACTTTAACAAAGAAGGTACAATCATAAGACAGTGTTTGGCGAACATTCAGAAAGATACATTCCTATCTGCACCAAACTGAAAAACCAAAACATTTACATCAATGGGCAAATAGAGAAAAAATTGTGTCCATACACTGAAATATTCCTTACCAACCCAATGAATCAGTATCTGGAATGACATGGGCAAATATCAAAGACAATACACTGAGTAAATGAAGCTGGACACAAGATTATAATCTCTATGACTCATTTTATATGTTAACTGCTAGAACATATCAAAATGATGTAAGTTGAAAAAGAAATCAGAAAAATGGTTACCTTGTGATAAGGGAGACTTGAGAAGGAACACAAAAGAACAACTTTGGGAGACAGAAAGGTTCTATCTACTGGGGTTTGCATTAAGCAGGACATCCATTTGCTAAGACTGAACAGCTATGACTTATGCATGACAAGCTGTATGGAATTTACCATAGAGTCACATTTTATTTGGAGAGGTTTGGAGTAGATGGATGTGCAGATGAAACCAGCATGAAAGAATGGTGGTGTAGGGTAAATGGTTTTTCAGGCTTTTCTACCCTCCCACCATTAGGATTGTCCTGTCTTATTTACTCCTGTGTGCCATGGGAGGAGTATTGAGAGAGACCGCAAGAGAGAAGCAGAAGCAGGAAAGAAGCAGGAGAGAGAAGCGTTCTCCCCCAAAGAAGCCAGAGAAGCCCAGAGTGAAAACTTGCCAGGGGCTTGGAGTCCTGCTGGCCTCCTGGCCCCCCAGCATCCCTACCTGTGGTGTATCTGGTCACTGCTCTACCTGTAACAGCTCAATAAAAGCCTGTTAAAGCCACCGAGGGCTCCAAGACTCTTCCTTTACCCGGTCTGCTCAGCTCCTAAAACCTGCCCTGTGATCATCCTGCCTCTACAGGTGGTGACCATGAAGGCTCGGGAAGGCATGTGGGATTCACCACACTACTATGCTTACTTTCTGATGTTTGAAGTATACCTAATATAATGCCCAAACTTAATTTTTGAAAACTGAGTAATCATCAACAGAATAGCTGCCATAGGTGAACTCTGATATTCTCATTACCATTTTGGGTCTCTATGGGACCCCAAGGCACTGTAGGCAACTAGAACAATGTCCTTGGACTTGCAGAACTCCAGCAGCTTGCTCTGGTTGAGATAAGGATGACACTCCACCTGTAAGTTGCAAAGACCAAGATATCAGAAACATAAGCACTAACAGGTAGAACTGAAAATACTTCAAAGAATATCTAATACTACATTAATATATGCATGATATTTTTTCAGATTGGCAATTTCCCCCATGAGTCTTCTAAACTACCTTTAAATGCCATCAGTTTTCAGATTGATGAGACAGTTTTCTTCTTGTTTTTGTAAAATGATTAAGAATGTTATGCCTAGGTTGTGATCTCTAACAACCACTTCCTATGGAAAGAAACCAAGATTACTTAGAGAAATGTTTGATTCCAGTACTGGGCACAAAATCTACATCATCTTATATTCTACAAAACAACGAAGACAGGGAAAATGATGAGTTAAGTCAAAGGTTTGGAACTCACTGGAAGACTCTCCTGAGGACCAAACTATAACAGTTTGATCATAGGATAGTACCTACAGTGGACGGGACAACTTCATAGGTGTTCAAATTCATGAATTCACAACGACCCAATTGAATATATGTGATCACATCCATCTTTAGATCCAAACTCCAATTTACAGGAAGTATAAATGACCACATAATTGTCCTACTGTATCACTGGGATCAATCAGTAAAATAAACATTGTGCAGCAAATTAAAGGAGAAAACATAAACTTCTTTCACAAATGAGTGAGTGAGTGAATGAGTGAGTGAGTGAGGAGAAAAGAGAAGCAACTGAAAGAGTTGAGGAAGCACTAAGAGTAGGAAAGGAAAGAGAAAGGGATGAAGAGAGAGAAAGGGGAAGAATATCATTTGAGTAAAAGAGATCGAAGAGCCATATCAACTAATTGCAATATTTCAATCCCAGTTGGAATAAATCAACTATAAATGATACAATCAAACTTCAACACTCCTTATATTATTGATATTAAGGAATTATTGATAGAATTTCGGTGGCACAATGGTACTCTGGTTGCTTTTAGTTTTTGAATCCATAGATTTTTAGGACATATGTTAAGTATTGACACTTAATTCTGCCTCCAAATAATCCAGGGATGGGAGTATGAATTTCACTGGCTTGGATATAAGATAATTGCTGCTTATGTTTGGTAAAAGGGAAGAGGTCATTATAAGTTTTTCTGTACATTTTTAGTTTGAGATTTTACCAAGTACAAAGATCTCTAAAAATTATATAAGAAATATTTTTATGGTATTTATAGGAAAAGTACCCATCCATCCAGAATAACAGTAAACAATATACCATCTACTTTCATTTTCCTATGCCTAATTTTAGTTATTTTTTCAAGTTATTTTATAACTTTAAACAAATGAGTATTGTTTACATAAATGGTGAATATTATTGACTCACAGTTTTTTCCTTTATTCCTTTTTTCAATTATTTCTCATTTTTCAAAACTTCTGTTACCCAGAAGTTCACCTCCTCTTTATATTAAAGGTCTTTTGATTTCTGCTTGCTCACTGCTTAATTCAGGAAAGTATATGTTGTTCTATTCAATAACACATGAGAAAATTGGCTGCAGGCTTGTGGGAAATATTTGCTTCCATCTTTAGAAATAGACCCAGGTATCAATCGTCTTTCTGTCGATCTCTCTCTGTGTCTTTCTTTCTCTCTCTCTCTCTCTTTCTCTTTCTCTCAAAGAAGGAGACTTAGCCCAATTGCCAGTGTGAAAGCGTTCTTGCAAACAGGCAGAGCAATGACAAAATATATTGGATCCAAAATCTAATTTTGGGCCTCCCCTGATGGCTCAGCGGGTTGAGCACCGCGTTGTGAAGACGCCCGCAGCCTCTGCAGTGTGGGTTTGATCCTGGCTGACAGGCGAGTGTCCCACATGGCGCAGCAGACCTCTCCTGTCTCCCCGCAGCTCCCCTCAGCAGTGTATTTTAGTAGATCTGCCTTTTCTGCTCCCCGTTCTATCTCTGGTGAATCCTCTCACCCTCCCTAGAATCTGGCCTTTACCCCCGTTCTTGTATAAATGAGTAAATAAATCTTTTTTTTTAAAAAAACCAAGAAAACAAAATCTAATCTTTCAGCTTCTAAACCAACAAAACCCACACCTTCCATAAGTGAATCAACTTCCTTTCATTTTAATCCAATTTGAATTTAGTTTTGAGTTTGTCACGGCTGAAAGCATCCAATGGAAACAGTAGAATATAATTTGATGATATGCTTATTAAAGTAATATAGCTATAGCCTTTCCATTTTTACTATTAAACTTTATAATATCCCAATATACATCTCCACCGTAATGAATTGTGGATATAAAAAAATCTATTATGGGATATTAAAGCCTCTAATTTCATAGACACATAAACTAAAAAACTGGGTTATAATGTTCATATATTTATGTGGTTTTTATATTTTGATTTATTTTCTATAAATTGGATCCTAGAAAAAAGTAAGACAAAAAGAATATTTAATAGGCTTCCTGCATAAATTTTAAGCTATTTTGTGAATGGACTGCACAACTTCACAAGGCATAGTGTCTGAAAATTTCAGCATCATTTTTTAAAATATTTTTTTCATCATATTATCATTTCCTCACTTATATGCCTTTACCCTCAATCTTTTTCTCTCACCACCATAACAAGTCCTCTTAGATCTCCAATGAGCTCCTCCTGGTGGAATCCAGTAGCTTCTCTGGTCCCTGTTTGCATTGCTGCTCTCAGCAGGATCCAGCCTACAATTCACTCACATTTTCAACTCTTTTTTGGCTTCCTGACACCACACTCTCCTCACATTCCCTCTACTGGTCTAGCAGCTCCTATTCCATCTCCTTGCCAGTGCCTCTTCCCCTGATCCTCACAAGCTGACTCTCCTCCCTCTTCCCATCCTGCTGAGTTTTCCCAGGAGAGCTGATCCACTGCTGTGAGCTCAATTGCCACCCATAAGCAGTGACCCCACAACTGTACATTTGGCCCTGACCCTCCTTGAGCTCCTGACCAACACTATCATTGGCCAAGTCACATCTCTACTGAAAAGTCTCAGAGGAAACTCGAAGCTCCTGCTGAAGAATCCAGATAGTACTCCCCCCACTGCACTCACCCTGTTTCTTCTTTGGCATTTCCTGTTGCAGTCAAAGCCAGAAATTTGGGGGATGTTTTCAAGGAGAAGGTGGAAGATCAAGGAGCCCCTGGAGGCCCGCGGGCTCACCTGGTTGCACACTGGCTTGTGCTTGAGCCCTGGCTTGTTCAGGATCATCTCCAGCTGTTTGTGATTGAAATTGGAAACCCCGATGGACTTGGTTAAACCTGCATCTTTACACTTCTCCAGGGCCTAGGGAGGAAGCAAGTGTGTGGCCAACATTTAGCATAGTTTGATCACTTCATTTGACACTGTTCTTTTAAAAGCTGCAAATTTGTTGACACATATGTAATAATGTCTAGACTAGTTTATGATCTGAATGCATTCATTCCTAATGTACTTTATTGCTATGCACAGGTAACTGTCTCCTTGAGTCTGTAACCTGTACATCCAGACAATAAAAAGGATGCTTTCAAATTCCTCCCTCATCACTTTTCCAGGTGCCTATTTTGCTGTAAAGCATATAATAATTCTTTAATAAATTGTATCATAATCAAGGACAAAGAGAAATCCTTGGGGTTTCCCATGTGACTCCCTATTTGTTCACTTTCACTGTTCACTTTCAGTGGCCCACTGCCTCTCTGGTGTCTGCATACTTACCTCCCATGTGCCAAGCAGGTCCACTGTCTCTGTCACAACTTTTCCACTGGCATCCTTTGGCAGAAGCTCTTCCCCAGGCTGGCATACAGAGAGAAGAGAGGATGATGTACATTTTTCGAATGAATGACATTCCTGATGCTTAGGTGTTTGGCCACACAACTTCAGGAGGCTGTAATTTCTAATCAAGTTGTAGGTGTGTGTTTGTGTGTGTGTGTGCGTGTGTTGTGTAAGAGATGACATGGGAGTAAGAAAATTCAGAATCATCAAAAGTCTATAACAAAAATATTTACCTTGCTTTACACACACCCCCTGAAACTTCATTAGAATGAGTTCTCCTGCAGTTGAATTTGATTTTATTTCACAAGGAAAGACGCGTTGGGATGCCAGGGCCTCCCTTCATTAATCAATGTGTTTTAGCTTCAGTTTATGATAATCAAGCTCAGAGATAGTGTGGGTACCAGATATGCTCAGCAAACATACATGGTGAAGAGACCTTGGACCAGTGAATCCCTAAAGCGCCCAGTTGTGTGATATGGATCAGTCTGTGGTTCCTACTCTGGATATGAGAGGTCCATATTGTGGGGAGGGGTGACCTAGCCCTTAAAATATGAGGACTTCCTATTGTACCTCTGCTATGTGTTGTCATTCAATATTCTTGAGGAATCTAATCACTAAGGGATTACAAATAGGAGCACATCATTTAAACATATGAAATTTCCTCAAGTCAGTGAGTTGAAAGCAATGAAATAATGAAATCTTCAAATTTCAATCCTCTAACTTATGGGAGATGGAAGTAAAAAAAATCTTGAGGCTGAGGTGACTCAACTGTCAAGGGGAGCTATAAATCATGTAGCAACTCAACCTACCTTTCTCAAAAACACCTCTTTCACTATGAACCCCCCCCCCAAATCAAGCCTAATGAGATCATGAAACTATAGCAGTTATGAAAAGTCTTGAGAATAACAAGGAAAAACAAAAGCTGACCTTCAGAGCAACTGGTGTATGAATAATATAGAGATCTACATAATCTAGTTGAAGTTTCTTCAATGAGATTTCCAGGGCTGGTCGAACCAAGTCAGGTCGAAGGAAAGTACCCCAAAGCTGCAGTGATCAAAAAAAATTAAAAAATGACTTAGGGTTCCACACATCTGAGGAAGCAAAATATAAACATGAATATGCAGAAACTCTATTTATGAGGTCAGGAAGCTAGAAAGAGAGTGCCCAAGCTTGTGAAAACCAGCCAACCACAGGACCCAACAGACCTTGCATCTCCTACAGGAGGTGATGTTGTTCCATGTCTGGGGTTGGGGGGGGGTCAGGGGGGCAAGGTGATAGATGTCTTCCAGAGGTTGTAAAGCAGATAAACTAATTTTGTTGTTGGAATAATTCATTGCTTTCTTTTTTAAGTCAATGAAAAATTGAGAAATGGGTAACATTGCTTTGGTGGTCAAATAAGAAACACTGGGGCTAAATTTATGCTACTTAATATAAATGAGGTTCTAAAAGAGAACAGAAATTTATTTGAGTGACCTTAGGAAAACTGTGTATAAAACTTATATGCACAAAAAAGTAGTAAAATGTTTCAAGAATTGAAAAAGACACTGAAAAGAGAGTCAAGAAAGGCAATACAAGTGGAAATGGAAGTCCCTATACTATATAATAAATGCCTGAAAATGCTCTTGCTTTGCGGTCCACATTCTTTTTTTTTTTTTTTAAGATTTATTTATTTATTTATACAAGCACTGGGTACAGTCAGAAGCATGGGAAGGTGAGAGAATTCACCAGAGCCAGAGCGGGAGCAGAACAGGCAGAAGGACCAAAGTACACTGCTGAGGGGAGCAGTGGGTGCGGCAGGAGAGGTCTGCGTGCCATATGGGACCCTTGCGGGTGGCTGGGTTTCGAACCAGTGCTGCAGAGGCTGCAGGAAGCTTCGCAGCCCAGCACTCAACCGCTGCGCCACCAGGGGAGGCCCCAGTCCACATTCTAAAACAAGTTATCATTAATGTTGACATGCACAAAAATATCAATTCTCTAGGTACGTCAGTAGCAGAGTCTTTCACCTAATTTCAATGAACTCAATGCTGATTTTTGGAAAAAAGCATTTCCTGGTCAGCATCTGTTTTATGAATAATATGTCAACCCCAAATTATGCTCAGTGAAATAAGCCAGAAGGAAAAAGAAAAATATTGGATGGTTTCACTTATAGCAGGAATATAGGGGAACCAAATAAGACATCAGTGCACAAAAATAATAACAGTACAAAACACAGCAAAGCAAAAACAGACAATTATAAACCAGAGACATCCTGCAGGGGAGGAGGAGGGAGAGGGATCACAGGGAGGGAGGGAGGCGCACAGGGGGCTGAGGTGATGGTGCACGGGTGCATTGGGGAAGGAAACTCTATGGAGACTACACCTGAGGGGGTGGCGGGAAGCAAATATTGTTTAAAAATGAACAATAATGTAAAAAAATTAATAAAAAAAGTATGCTAACCCCACTTGAATACATCCTGAGAGTCTGCTGATGAGTAAAAGTGTGTTCCCACAGTGGATCAGTCAATCATGGGACAGATAAAGAAGGTTAAGTGCTGTTACTTGTGCTTTACATATGATTGCTGACTCTGTTCAGAGAGGTTGATCAGCTGTCTTACATTTAACACACTTCAGAGGAAAGCAAGCTTTCCATTTTTCTCTTTCTATAATTGAGTTGAACAATGATAAGAGTTAAATTAATACAAGATCATAGGTTGTTTCCCCCCCCCCAAAAAAAATAACAGGGACCTCTTGTCACCTTGGAAGTGTAGAATATGTCCTCTCTCTTCACAGTACCATCAGCGATCTTCTCCCGAATGGCCTGTCCCACTTCCTCCTCATTCAGATACATGAACGCGGAATCAATGTGACGGAAGCCTACATCAATAGCCACTTTGGTGGCTTCTAAAGCCTTGCTTTTAGGAACCTATAAAATATGAATAAGGATTGGTAATCTGCCCAACTCAGAGAAAAGCAATTTATTTCCTTAACAGCATTTTTCACTGTTTCTACATGTCTCCTGCACCTGTGTTTGATGATACAAGTTTTGGTAACAAACCTATATTACATGGCATAGACTAAACTCCAATACAACCTGTAATCTGAAATGAATTCATGAGAAATTATTCACCAGGAACATGCAAAATGAGTCAAATTCAACAAAAACTTTGTTGTAAGGAAATAACAGGAAGACCTTTGGCACTTGGAGGAAACGTCTAAAGATATAAATGTTGATGTAGACATAGATGGAGAGATAGACATGGATGTAGATATAGATGGAAACATCTATTTTTGGCTATTAATTGGAAATGAGTCATCCATCTTTGCTCCAGCTTCTACTCAGTTGGGCTCTTAGAGTAATTTATGATTTTAAAAAAATATATTATTATTATTTTAAGATTGATTTATTTATACAAGCACTGGGTACAGTCAGAAGCGCGGGAGGGTTAGAGAAACCACCAGAGCCAGAGCAGGGAGCAGAACAGGCAGAAGGACCGAAGTACACTGCTGAGGGGAGCAGTGGGTGAGGCAGGAGAGGTCTGCGCGCCATGTGGGACCCTCGCCAGGCAGCCGGGGATCAAACCTGCGCTGCAGAGGCTGCGGCATCTTCGCAGCCCAGGGCTCAACCGCTGCGCCACCGGGGAGGCCCTAATTTATGATTTTTTTAAAAAAATCTGTCATCCCCTTAAATCTCTCATTAAACATTTATGCAACAAACATTCATTAACTGCCTGTGGTTTGTCTGACATTGTGCTAAACCTTGATGCCCTGCGGATTCCGCCAATAACAAAAGAGACCCAGGTAAAACTCCTAGAAATAAACATGGGGGTACGCTTCTTGACGTTGATAGTCGGAAAGAGATTTGACGCCAAAAGCAAATGGGACTAAGTCAAAATCAAAAGTCTCTGTATCCTCAGAGGAAACCATAAAGTGAAAGTTCGCCTATGGAATGGAAAAAATACTCAAAAAAACACATACTTACTGACAAGGGAGTAATATCCTAAATATACATGAAAGCCATAGAACTCAACAGCAATCAATCATACATTTTAGGATGTCTCTTATCAAAAAGATAAGAACTACAAATGCTAAGAAGGACGTGGAAAGAGAAATCCATCCCTTGTTGCTGGGTATATAAATTGGTACAGTCACTATGGAACATACTACAGAGGTTCCTCAAGATGTTAAAAATAAAGCTAACATATGGTGAGATAATTCCACTTTTATTCATCATCTCAAAGAGATACCAGTTTTCCTATGTTCATTTCAGCATCATTAATAGCCAAGGCTTGAAAACACCCTATGATTTCATTGCTACATAAGGTGGAAGATGTGAGTGCTGGGGTGGGAGGAATGGGTAGCAGGGTCAAATTGGATGATGATAGAGTCATTATAACATGGGAACAACTGGAATGTCAGAATGTTGAAATGCTCTTTATTTTTTTTTATGTAATAAATTTTATTTTTATATTCCCCATACAATTGCAACCCCCTTATTTTGACCCCAATCCCTCCCCTCCCTCCCTCTACCCCCCATAGAGTGTCTGGTTCATAGTTTTTTGTTGATTTTGATTTTTTCTTTATAGTTTTTCATTTTTTCATTTTCAATTTTTTCTTTATAGTTATTCATTTTCCTGGTCCCTTATTTAAGTTTTCTAGATTCCTGCTATGAGTGAGACCATCCAGTATTTTTCTTTTTCTTTCTGGCTTATTTCGCTGAGCATGATCCCTTCCAGCGCCATCCATGTTGCTGCAAATTGCATGTGTTTATCTTTTTTGAATGCTGAGTAATATTCCATGGTATATATGTACCACATCTTCTTGATCCAGTCATCTATTTTTGGGCATTTGGGTTGTTTCCAAAGCTTAGCTATTGTAAACAGTGCTGCTATAAACATAGGGGTGCAGGTGCTCTTTGGAATTGATGTTTCTGTGTCCTTTGGGTAAATATGAAATGCTCTTTAAAGGTACAAATTTAAGTACTAACTCAGGAAGAATGACACTGTAAATTCAAGACAGTCTTTCAAGATGTGGTCTATATTTTGAACTGATCACAAATATGTGGCACAATCATCCTAATAGTTACACTATTGGATCCAATAAGCAATGTCTAGAAATACAAGTAGTCTCTTTGAATTAATGTGGATTCCTTTCCCAAAAAATTGCTTGCTTTGGAATCCTTGCTTTTTTGGAAAGGTAAGGGGTTCACAAATAAGGATGTGAGATAGAGAGGGTTATCACATTGTTTCCACACTGACTCTTGGGCTTGCATTTTAAGGAATAACTCTGTGAATACAGGTAAAACGTGCTTCAGAGTCATTCCTCCAAGATACAAAACATCTGGGATATTCATAATAAATCCAATCAGTTACTCATTAAGGGCCTTTCCTGGAGGCTTGCATTAATCCCCTGGCATGCAGGCAGGCAGATGCACACACTGGCACCTGGGAGTCAGGCTAAGCCCAGGAGAGGTCAAGGTGAGGGAGTAGGACACCAATCCCACCAGTCATGTCCTTCCATCCTGATCCCCAGTGTCCATCCACCTGGGGAATCTGTGTGGCCTGTTTGCTCATCTTCAGGATCTCCCAAATGAAAGATCCTGATTCTAGGGGGAAGCTTCTAGTAGATGAACAGGAAAGGTTCCCACACAACCTGATGCCACCTACTGGTTTGGGCTGCTTTCTGCCAGTGGATCTGGAGTTAAAAAGGAATTACTAGACTGGTCTGGCCATGGCAATTGATTCCATTTCTGAGAAGTAGAGAGAGTAGCCTCCATATAATGGTGGCAGAGAGGAGTATGTCAGGAATTAGGGGAAGTTACTGGGGCAATGGTTGGTACCAGGAAGTCACCTGGTACTCGCTGTGAACAGACAATTTTAGCAATGACCGCTAATGAGGACATAGTGACCAGGGACTCAGATCCCTAAGGCTTTACCCCATTAGGCAAGCCACTTTGACCAGCACAGTGGTGGCTGAGGCCAGCTGTGATGTGGAATGACTGGCAGAGGGGACAAGGAATGTTAGAATGGTCTCGGACCCATCTGGAGCAGTGGGGAGTGTTCCCTATTTATGACTTGGTGATATGTTGTAGTATAGATAAATGGATAGATATATTTTAATGACAATACCATGAATAATTTTTAAATCTTTTTTTTTTTTTTTTTGCAGAAGCGGTATAAATTAATTTCCCTTTCCCTTAGGGAAAAACTAGAACCCCTCTGCTTTAATTCTACTAATTACACCAGTCAATTTTCCCTCCTGCTGTTGTTCTTCATGCCTCCTGTTTCATATACTGGGCTATGTGAGGCTGTCCCTTGCCAGCTTTAGAACTTCTGTGAAGGGACAAAGGTGGAGCCAGGCCTCTCCTTCTTGAATTGAGCCAGTCCCACTCTGCATTAGAATGCCTGTCCCTGACTTCAAACCTTGCTTAAGCTCAACACACCTCCTCCTGAAGCCTTCCCGGAAAACTCCACATTGGCCCCCTCTGTCTGAATAACTCATCTTCTGCTGGCATATACTGCAATAATATTGAGCACTGTTATACAGCTTAGCAACCAGGCAAAAAGTGCCTTTATCTAGTCTTCAAGGCCCTGGAGAAGTAGAACAATCTTTTATTCAAACTCCTACTATTGCTAGAATAAATTTTAACAACATTGTAGAAACTTGATCATGTCTTTCAAATTAGCAACTGATTTGTTAATTAATGATGACATGTTCTAACTGGATTTTTTTTGATAGCCATGTCCATAAGATCAAAAGTTTCATTACTCTTTCTGCCCGCCACATCAAACACTGGTAAACTTAATCTGATATTTATCTCAGCCTTTGAAGTGACAAAGATCCACACACTATTTGCACACCCAGGGGGTTACAGGAGGCTGACCCTGGGTCAATGTTGGCACATCTGTGAAATTCTGAGCACAAGACACTGGGGCAAGTTTTAGGAAAACTTTAGCCAGAGCAGTATATACAAAGGCAGAAGCCCAGAGAGCTAATTCTTGCTCACCAAACAAGCAGCTTCCACAATATTCTCCCTTACCAACCTGGCCAGGGAGTGAACAAAGTCAACACAACATTTACAAAGCCTCTCTCAAATTTCAAAGCCTAAATCTGAGCTGCTGAACCCTCTTGTTTGCCAGAAAACACACTAGACTGAGGTGACACCCACAGCGGCAGGGAAGTACTGCTCGTTCCGCACGACCTATACAGATATGTCCCCCGGATGGGGGAGGCACTTTAGAGAAAGAACTCAGACTAGGATATAAAAAGAGGCTTTAATTTTATTTCCTACCTTTTTACTATATTAAGCAAATGCACAATTCTAGTAACTGAGGGAATTATGGGATATTCTTTTCTTGTCTTTGGCACTGGTCTGTCTTTAGCAACAGTGAGAAAGGTTGGAGGTGACATTTAAGGCATACCTGGTGCTTAAGCTATGAGAGATACAATGGATAATGAGGTCATTGAAAAAAAAAAAAATCTGGCCCTCTCTGACAGTTACTGATGACTCATGCCATAGACTTTTCAAGGTAGAGGGGTCTGGGCTGCGCTATTATGGGCCAATCATTCCACACGTCCCAAAGCTCCCCCTACTTGCTGTACCGCAGCGAGCGAGACACCTAGCGCAGCGCAGTTAACCTGGGTACCTGTGAGCATAAGACTCAGGAGAAGCACAAGTCTGACCCCACAGTTGCTTTATGCCTCCTGATCTTCCTTTCTATACACCTAACACTTGGAATAAAAGTGGTTCTCCTACCACAAAAGGTGTCAGGATGGAAATGCTCCAGTAACTGCTCCCATCCCCAACAAAACTACAGCAGAGCTGCTAGAAAGCAGTCATGTCCCTCACTCTTCCCTATGCCACTGCCCACCAGCCTGTGTTCCCAACTAAGAGCAGAGAGAGGGGCCTCCCTGGTGGCGCCAGGGGTTCAGCACAGCACTATGAAGCTGTCTACAACCTCTGCAGTACGAGTTTGATCCCTGGCCAGCCAGGGAGCTACCCACATGGCACAGCAGACCTCTCCTGTCTTGCCTGCTGCTCCCCTTAGCAGTGTATTTCAGTCAGTCTGCCTGTTCTGTTCCCCACTCTGTCTCTGGTGAATCCTCTCACCTCCTGCACCTCTGGTCTATACCCCTGTTCTTGTATGCATAAATAAATAAATCTTTAAAAAAATTCTATTAAAAAAAAAGAGCAGAGACACTCTAACTGCTATGGAGGATGAGCTGGAAGAGCGGACTGTTCTCAGATTTCGATGTGAGAAGAAAAAATATTATTTAGGAAAGTTACTGATGAAGGAAGATAATGCATGTAAGTATCTAAATTACACGGTCAACACCAACATGTCATGTAACCCAAACAACAGTGATATTTATAATAAACACAATCCACCCACAAATCCACTATCTCTGAATTCCCAGAGTGAGCAGCTGGTTGTTCCATTTAAGTTTAGAGATGGTGACACTGTCCAGGGAGCCCTTCCAAAGCATCTCATTGTGTAAGCCACAGAGACCCTGGCCCGCTGGCAGTCCCCTGAGCCTGTTTGCATTTCATCCTGCAGACCCTGGAGATCCACTTACCGTATCAGGAGCATACGTGCCAAATCCCAGCATTGGCATGAAGTGCCCATCACTCAGTTTCACGGAACTACTCGGCGTGAGGTCCATCACTGGCCACGGTCCTGGTTTAGTCTCACCCTCACCCCTCTCCCTTTTCCTAATCAAGAGCCTTCAGTGTTTTTATTTTCTACCAACCACACAAGGTAGGCGGGGCTGGGTTATAGCTGCCAAGGATTTCAAAATGAAGCCGGAAAATTCCACCTACTCACTGCTCATTCTGTCATGACTCTGCAGTCCCCCTACAGGAATGTCATGCAGAAACATGCATCCCTTGGACCATGGCTTTTCTCCTCAGCACAGCTCACCTTGGACTCCTAGGTTTGGTGATCAGTTAACCATGTCAACTTGTCCATGATAATTATACCGGACTTTCTCCATGAGATGCAAGAATATCATTAGGCTGATCATTTCTAAACACTAGTTCTGGTTGGTTAGGGTCCTCACCCTTGTTTTGTCCAAAATCCCATCAAAAAGACATTGTCCAGGATTCCTTGAACAAAGCCCAGTGCTTGTTCCCAAGCACACAGGTAACAAAATGACTTGAAAATGCCCTCCCACTGATTTTGCTATCATTTTTCCTGTAATGTGACCCTTGTTCACCTTGTTCCTGTGTCTTGTTTCTTTGAATCTTTTTGGCAAGAATAAAGCTGTCTGAGATGACTACTGTGCTTTGGCCTTGAGTCAGGTCTTGTTCTTCATGGAATAGCCTGTTCTGTGCCCCAGGCTCCATCAGCCTATGAACTCCCACTTACCTTAGAAGCAGATGTGCCTGTCCACAGCTTTACAACACTTTCTAGCACCCTGTCAGGGCGGTGACCACTCTTTCCCGTGCACCCTCACATGAACTCATACTCGCAGCTAACAGGAAGCCCGAGCAGGACCAGCCGCAAAGAGAGTTTTGTTCAGTGATGCAGGTCGCCAGGCCTGTCCCTTCCTGCATTTGTGCAGTTGGTATTTTAGAGCCCACCACAAAATGTAACATAGTCATTTCTCTTATTACTTCCACCCCTGTTCTGGCTCCTGCCAGTGTAAGCCCTGCCAGTTGTCTTTTCTTTTTGTAAGACAAAAACAAGGTATCTACTCCAGAGAAGGGCACCTCAGATAATCACATTGCCAGCCACACAGCTAGAGAGAGGCCATTCTGCCTCGCCCTTACTGAGGCGCTGTTTTATAGACCTGATGGATTCAGATAACTAGAAGGAGCTTTGAGTGTGTGTGTGTGTGTGTGTGTGTGTGTGTGTGTTTCTCTTCCTATGCTTTAAATTCTAGTTTTTAAGTTTTAAATCAACTAATGAAGAGTAAGCCCCTGTAATCTTAGATCTTTACCTCTGACTCTGTAAGGCAGGACCCCAGATCCCAGAGCACTCTCTCCCTTAGTCCCTCACCCCACCCACCTTGTTCTCACTGTGTGGCTTGGATGTGTTGTGTAATTTCTAAGTCTTATTATTGAAAGTAATAAACCTCTGCCTTTTCAGTGTCTCTTCATGGGTATTGCTGAAGGACATCTTGCAGTCATAATAAGAAACACAAGCACCTGATCAGCCACAACACTGGGTATTGATAAGCTAAATTTGGCTCAAAACACTGTTGGAGGTCAAATTCCATGTGATGCTATCATTCCACGGATTTGAATTCTGTGTCAGTTGGAACATTGCATCAGTTATAGATTGATGAGTGTGTCCTTTTTATTTTCATTGATAATATCAAGGCTGAATTCTGTATCTCAGGTCACAGAAACCCCTGTGGGGTAAATTGAAGGGATAACAGGAACTTGAGTATAGACAGTGAGTATAACGTTCCTGCTCAGGGAAATGAGCCATCCTACAAGGGTTCAGGGGAGGGGACAGGCTGGCCCCTGAGTCATTTCAACTCTTGCTTGCAACTTGGAGTCACTGGGAGGAAAAGTGACAGAAAGAAACAAGAAACTAGGTACACAAACTCGTCTGCACTGGGGGAAACTCAGATGGATGACTGGATGGTGGGAGGGCTCAAGGCCCTCCATACAGCACGGCCAAAGCCTGGGAAATGCCAAGTGAGATACCAAGCTTTGTGACATCCTCAGGGGAGAGCAGAGAAAAGGCCAGAATGGGTGGGGGAGAGGGTCTCCTTGAGTAGGTACCTGACTGGACATTAGTGACCAACACAAAGAATCCCACTTACTTGGTTCTCCCTGGTGGCTCAGGGGGTTGGGCAGAGCACTGTGAAGCTGCCCACAGCCTCTGAAGCACGAGTTCCATTCCCGGCCCACCAGGGAGCTACCCACATAGTGGGCAGACCTCTCCTGACTCACCCACTGCTCCCCTCAGCAGTGTACTTCAGTCAATCTGCCTATTCTGCCCCCCACTCTGTCTCTGGTGAATCCTCTCACCCCTGACACCTCTGGCCTGTACCCTGGTTCTTATATGCATAAATAAATCTTTAAAAGAAAAAAAAAAAACATATTTGAACCACTGTCCTCTCTGCCTCTTGGGAAGGCAGCCAGCAAGAGAACTTCAGGAAATAGAATGAGTTCAAAAACAATGGTCCTCTTTTTTATGAGCTTCATTCCATCCTCAACTGGCTGGGACCATAGGAGAGAAGCTGTGAGGGTGAGTTTCGGGCTGGTCTAACATGCTATCAGTTGCCTCGGTTCACTGAGTCAGCAATATGTTGATGGAAGAAGGATGGAGATATGTTGTAGAAACATTTTTAGATAACCATGCTGAGTGAACTTGTAGACTTTCATGAGGTTCATATAGAGGAACATGTCCTTGAGAAGAGTTTATATAGCAGCTTCCTAAGCAAATCTGTTTTTGTCTCAACTTTCACCAAGGGAGAACACACAACATGGAAGGCGTTTCTCTGTCCTTGAGAAAGGAACTAATTGGTCACTTGCAGAAAAACAGCAACAGCGTGACATGTGACTGGGGCACTCAGACAATATCCTGTCCTTTCTCCATGTCTAGTGTTTCTACAGAACAATAGAAAAACTGTTGAACCTCCACAGGAAAAATCTAAGTCTACTAAGGAAGCTATTAACTGCACAATAGTACTGAAAAGTGGTGTGTACAATGTGCTAATGTGTTTTCTTCTATTTACTATTTGCTTTTCAAATCCTGGCAACCAATGACCCTGCCCTAGCCTTCTCTTTAATGACTGGCCATATGCATGTGCACTTGAGAAGATTATATAATCTGTTTTTATGTAATCACTCCTATTTAATACCGAGTATCCTATTTAATCCTGAGTCATTGTCACTGGCATTGATGGGAAATATTCTTAAGTTCCTACACTGTCTACAAAACCACGGTAACAATATTTAAACAAATATTTAATGGTTTTAACCTTTCTTGCCCCTTCCTACATGTGTGAATAAGTGACTTAATTGCTTTTCCAAAATTGGATTCCCTAAGTTACCCCATGCTAGTAAGAAAACTAAGGAAAACAGAAAATCAAACTCACAAGTCAGCACTTTCCTGAACATTTGCCTTGCGTTTAAACATTTAGTTAGTTTGTGAGGCCCACCAAAGCTTTCTGCCATTTTACTGTGGAGAATGTTCAGGAAAAATCAAATTCATAGCACAGACATACAAATCAAAAAGGCTTTAACGTTTTCCCTTCAGCTTTAGAAATTCATCAAAAGGGAAACACTGCATTTTCAAAATAGAACAAGGGAACAAGTGCCAGTCATTTAAGAATGAAGTGTTTGGCAAACAAAGTAACTCTTAAACTATGTGAAAAATGGTAGTAAACTCTTGGTAGTCTAAACTCTCAGACTGGTGGATACAGGAGGAGAAGGGAGTCTGGGGAGAGTGGCCAAGGAGAGAGGGGTATTGTGATGGGGTATTGGCAATGGGTGAGTGAAGTCCAGACACAAAGCTATACTACCAGAATTGTGTAGTTTTGCAAATGAGGTAAAGCAATAAGTGTTTAATAAGGTAGAAAGTCAAGAATTCAGAACTCAGACATTCTGTAACTTCAGAATTCAGATATTCTGTTCCCAGTAAAGGACAACAATGTATTCAGCAATGAAAGAAAGAATTAAACAGTCTAGACTTTGTTGTAGGGAAAGTAAGGCACCATCTTTGAGACTGCGCAGGATGTCCTGAGCAAACTCCACCCTCTGGTGTAAGTATAAACCCTGGAAACCTTAATTCTTACATAATTAAGATTTATCCTCCACTCATATCATCTCCCGACAGTCCACATCACCCCTCTAGTTCTTGAAATTAGCTCAGGACATCCTTTCCCCCTAACAGTTCCACAAAGGGAAATGCTAGAGTTTGCTTCATCAGGGTCCAGCAGAGAGGAGGGTAGAATGAGAACTTCCCCTCCCACACTAAATCCATTGCCAAAAGGAAGAAAGGGATCCCAGCCCTTCTCCAGTGCCATCTGAGAAAGGCTGAGTTGCTTTGAAGCATTTTGTTGGAAAAGAAGAGCAATCATTATTAAACAAATACTAAAAAGAGTTAGAAGAGACCCAAGAAACTCTGAAAGGAGATTTGACTTAGAGAGGACAAAAGCCAATTTGGTCAGCGATTCTGCAAGAAGAGTAGCTCAGGAATGAGAAAAGCTACCACTTTGTGGGGGAATAAGGTGCCAAACAATCCTCCCTGAACTGGTATGGAGATTGTTGTGAAGCAATAAGAGAAACTTTGCCAAAGGGGCTGGAATAACCCATCTCACCCCACCCACATCATACCCAGAAAAACAGAGCAAACAAGAAAATAAGCTTGTAGGCTCGTATGAAATGCCCTGAGGAATCTGGTGAAGTCAGGGCCCTGAAATGAGCAGGGTCATCCCCCAAATCCTGTCCATGTCTGGGCCTCGTTGTGCCCCTCATTCCTGAGCCTCACTCTGTGGTCTTCCCTCCTGGCTACCTCTGCCAGGTCTGCATCGTGAGGAGAGGTTTAGGCTCCAAGTAGAATCTCCTTGGACACCCCCTGATGCTGCAACAATATGTCTATGGTCTTGTCTCGTTTGTGGCCAGGAAAGCATCTGATTCACACCCAGACTTGGACCTGCCTGAGCAGAGTCCACCAGAACTGGAGGATCCACCCGTCACTGCTTGGGTCTCAGTGTCCGTATCACCTCCTCCAAGTATCTTCTTTGCTGCATCACACTCATCAGAGTAATTCCCCAGCCCCCAAGCCTCTCACTTTCTCATCCCTCCGTTTTAATTTCTTCAGAACATTGACCACCCTCTGCTGCTTACCTCAGCCTTTTGTTTGTTTGTTTGTTTTTGTTTTTGTGTTTTCAAATGTATTGTCTGGATTACCAAACTAGCAAGACTTCCCA